TCTGAAAAAAATCTTAGAATATGAAAACATTGGTGAATGTCACAAATTCTCCTAAATCACTCGTACGCACAACTTAAGAACAAATCTGTACGTACCAACGGTTCTTGCATAAGGCCCATTGTCATGTAAGTCTGTTTCTGTAGAAAGACCCGCCTGATATGCATGTTGTTCAGGACTCATTGGTGATAACATTAAAATGTCATCTCTTACGTGTCTATCTATCAACCTCTCCATTCCCTTCAGCAAGAAAGATGATGGTTCAGAAAATATTAGCTTCTCTATATGTTGGTTTGCCAGGTTTGGGCAGGAAGACAGCCTTTGCTGTCCTCTACCAAACTGGTACAAAGCCATTCGCTAGACAAGTAACATATATCGTATAATGTGGTGCTTAGAATCTAGTGTTTCTTACTATTATTTGCTTATGCACCAGTCCTGATCATTGCTTGAACCTGATTGGATTATTTAATGAACTAAACTGAACCTTACAACTGAGTACTTTTAAATTAGGCTTTTTCAGCAAAATTCTGCAAGGTTATTCAGCACTCAGCGTTTCTGGTTATATAGTATAATTTTTGTTGCTTTTGTTACTAGGCTTCATTGTATTCTAGTTTTTCCTTCCCTTTATTTATCTTTCTTCATTTTATATCACCCTCTCCTGGGATCAATAAAGTTTTATCTCATCTCATCCCTGTTACTCAGTCATTTTTTTTATCCTTTGTTTAACGTGGCATCTCCTGGAAACATCCCGAAACATTTCTTGTTCCGGTCTCTTCCACAGTATGAACTTACCAGCTTCTCGCCCTCGTAAACAGCTGGAGGTCCCTAAATGCACATAAAACAAACAAAAAATAATTGTTATCCTTAGAATTGATGTGAAACAAAAAAAACATGTATTTCTTTCATCAAAGTATTTTCCAGCTGTCTAGAAGGTGACACTTGGATTCTATAAACTTTAAAACTCTTCTTTGGCTCATGTTACCTTAAAAAGATATTGACTGCAAAGCAAACATAATAACCCGAAGAAGATCAAATGGTAGTTTGAAAATGTTTGCCTCAATTGCTTTTCAGCTATATTGATATTTAATTCTGAAATGCAGATATATACTCACTGTAAACAAAGCACTCTTGAAACCTCTAAAAACCACATGGAAGCTTGAGTCACGTGACTGACCTACATTAGGCTGTAGTTTGTGTTGGTAAACAAATATGGCAGAACTTGACAAAGTATACCAAAAATCAAAAATCAGTAGTTCCTCTGGATGGTTCTTCTTTAGTGAAACGTTTCGTCTCTCCTCCAAGAGACTTCTTCAGTCTGATGAGTTTCAGGTGAACTCAGACTTATAAGCTCCGCCTCCACCTGGACAAACAGGTTAGTCACATGCAAAAGAGGACCATCGACTAACAATAGACTTGATTAGCTCTAATGTTCATAGAGGGTCATGTGACCCATCATCTGACCRGTGTCGTGTTATGTGAATGTAGCGAATGCAAGCGGGGCTCAAAGTCCCCTTGTTTTTGTCCCTTTTTTCCCTCTTTGTGTTGGTATCATTGGGGCCCTGATTCACACCTTTTGCTCACAGGGGGCGGAGTCATACCTGCAATAACAGCGTTGTAGGAGGAGGACAACTGGACACGAAGGCCTCCACCTCTGTTTAATGGTGGACGGTTTTTCTTCACAAAGATGGCTTCCTTTGAAGCCATCTTTGTGAACAGAGGTGGAGGCCTTCGTGTCCAGTTGTCCTCCTCCTACAACGCTGTTATTGCAGATATGACTCCGCCTCCTGTGAGCAAAAGGTGTGAATCAGGGTCCCAGTGATACCAACACAAAGAGGGAAAAAAGGGACAAAAACAAGGGGACGTTGAACCCCCGCTTGCATTC